TAAGTAAAAATGACTGAGCGAATAAAATAAAAACGGTTAAGAAACCGCAACGATCAGATTAACCAAACAAATGAGATAAAATGGCTAGAAAACCACAACGATCGAATTAACCGAACGAATGAGATTAAATGGTAAAGAAACCACAACAATAGGATTGACCGAACGAATGCGATAAACGGTTATGAAACTGCAACGATCGGATTGATCGAACGAATGAGATAAAACGGTTAAAAAACCGCAATGATCAATTGACCAAACGAATGAGATAAAATGGTTAGAAAATCGTAACAATCAGATTGACCGAACGAATGAGATAAACAGCTAGAAAACCGCAATAATCGAATTGACCGAACGAATGAGATAAAACAGTTAGAAAACCATAACAATTAAATTGACCGAACGAATGAGATAAAACAGTTAGAAAACCGCAACGATTGAATTGACCGAACGAATGAGATAAAATAGTTAAGAAGCCGCAATGATCAGATTGACCGAACGAATGAGATAAAACAGTTAGAAAGCCACAATGATCAGATTAATCGAACGAATGAGATAAAACGGTTAGAAAACCGCAACAATCAGATTGACCGAACAAATGAAATAAACGACTAGAAAACCGCAAGGATTAGATTAACCGAACGAATGAGATAAAATGGTTAGAGAATCGCAACGATCAAATTGACTGAACAAATGAGATAAACGGTTAGAAAACCGCAATGATCGGGTTGATCGAACAAATGAGAGAAGACGATTAGAAAACTGCAATGATCGGATTAACCGAACGAGTGAGATAAAACAGTTAAGAAACTGCAACAATTGGATTAACCGAACAAATGAGATAAAACGGCTAGAAAACCACAACGATCGGCTTAACCGAATGAGTGATATAAAACGGTTAAGAAACTGCAACGATCGGATTGATCGAACAAATAAGATAAAATGACTAAAAAGCCGCAACGATCGGATTGACTGAACGAATGACTTAAAACGGTCAGAAAACTGCAACAATTAGATTGACCGAACAAATGAGATAAAATGGTTAAAAAACTTCAATGATTGCATTGACCAAACGAATGGGATAAACGGTTAGAAAACCGCAACAATGGAATTGACCAAACGAATGAGATAAAATGGTTAGAAAACTACAACGATCGAATTGACCGAACGAATAAGATAAAACAGTTAAGAAACCACAACGATCGGATTGACCGAACAATGAGATAAAACGGTTAGAAAATCGCAACGATCAGATTGATTGAACGAATGAGATAAACGGCTAAAAAATCGCAACAATTAGATTGACAGAATGAATGAGATACAACGGTTAGAAAACCGCAACGATCGAATTGACCGAACAAATGAGATAAATGGTTAGAAAACCGTAATGATTAGACTGACCGAATGAATGAGAGAAGACGGTTAAAAAACCGCAATGATTGGATTAACCGAACGAGTGAGATAAAATGGTTAAGAAACCGCAAAAATCAGATTGACCGAAAGAATGAGATAAAACGACTAAAAAACCGTAATGATCAAATTGACCGAATGAATGAGGTAAAACGGTAAAAAAATTGCAGCGATCGAATTGACTGCAACGATCGAATGATTGAAAAAGTAGAGTATCTCGGTCTAATGAGTGTAAAATGCAACTAAAAGGCTAGATGAAAGTGATGATTAAAAGATCCATAGTTGTGAAACATATGCAAGTGAAACAATCTTCATATATAAAAAGGTAGAAATGAAAGGAGGTTAAGAAACTTCCCCAAACACATTGGCTGTCTATATTTGACAAGAGTCCTGTATCTTTCATGTTGCACACTTATCAATTAGTGATTATCCCTATGTAGTAGCTCGATAGATTCACATTCGTGAATACCCTATGGAATGCCAAAGGTAGAATCTCATTTGTTTCCCATGAGGAGATATTTGAAAATATTGCCCCAATAAGTTGAATTTTCATTTGCTATTGGAATTTCAGTTAGCATGGATGACTTCTTAGCTATCGAATTTAGCTTCCTTTCTCCCTGTAATTCTCATCCAACCTTTCAAATTCATCAAGAGATTTTGATTAGATAAACAAATATATTAACTGAAATAGAGCCTCATGCTCAACTAGCATTCCCAATACTGAATAAAAGGTAAGGCTGGAATAAAGTGCGAACAGAATGATTGTAAAGATTTATTTCATTAGATTCAACCAAGGTTTGGATGATCAAAAGGTCAACTTTGGATAGTGACAAAAGAAGTCTAGCCAGTAATACAAGATTTTGATGCAACTGGTTATAAGATATTCAAACCATAAATTGTTGCTTTAGATCATCTTTTCTTTGCAACTCTGCCCCTCAATTCTTTAGTCCATGAAAGAGAGTCTCATTCCTTTTCTGAATATTGACACTTCAAATCTTTCCCTTTTCATGAAATAACTCTCATGCTTAGAATAAGGAAGTTTCAAACTACCACTGTCTAGAGCCTTGCTGTTTCCCTTCTTCTTCTTTTTTTGTGTTCCTTGACAAAGAAAGCTTTAAACCCTCAGATAAGGACTTTTATACGGGTTTGTAACGTGGCTTGGGATTAGGTTATGATGAAAGAAAGGATAAAGGCTCAAAATCCATATATTCCCCTCACATCTCTTTCTTCACTTCCCCGATCATTAAGGTGGGTTAGTAGAAAGAATATCACTCTAGCTTTTGTAAATCTGAATGATTGCCTTTTTTGGCTCAAAAGGGGTAAGCAGAAGGGTAATGTTCAACTGTTTAGGGTAGAGAAACAGGGCCCTTTATCACTAGATTTTCAACTTTCCAAGTCAAGGAAACATTTAATTTGTTAGGCTGCCTTTTCAGGTTTTCAACCTAAATTTTTTTTTATATTTTTTTTAGCAATAATACATTTTGACAACATCAACATTCATTGGGTGATGATAATCAGTTCCATCTGGATATCTCAACAAGAGTGCTCTTCTGGAGAAAGCTTCTTTAACAACATAGGGTCCTTCATAATTCGATGCGAATTTGCCCCTAGGGTCCTTTTCATTTGGCATGATCTTTCTTAAGATGAGATCTCCTTGATGAAATACTCTAGGTTTGACTTTCTTGTTGTAAGCTGCTGCCATTCGTCACTGATAGCATTGACCGTGACAAAGAGTTGCCAATCTCTTCTCATCAAGCAAGTTGAGGTGATTTATCCTTTTCTGAATCAAATCTTCTTCCTTAATCCCCGACTCGGATAAAATTCTCATGGAAGGAATTTCTAGCTCAATTGGTAGTACTGCCTCCATTCCATATACCAAGGAATAAGGGGTTGCCCCAGTTGAAGTGCGAACAAAGGTTCTATGAGCATGGAGAGCATATGGCAACATTTCATGCCAATCTTTATAAGTAACTGTCATTTTAGCTAGAATCTTCTTGATATTCTTGTTGGCAGCTTCCACCGCACCATTCATCTTCGGTCGGTATGGAGAAGAGTTCAAATGCTTGACCTTGAATTGCTTGCATAGCGCAATCATCATGTCATTGTTCAAATTGCTTGCATTATCAGTAATGATGGCCTCTGGTTGCCCATATCTATAGATGATCTCTCTCTTGATGAAGCGAGTGACCACCTTCTTTGTAACAATAACATAAGATGTTGCTTCTACCCATTTGGTAAAATAATCAATAGCAACCAAGATAAATTGATGACCATTGGAAGCTTTAGGATTAATTGCCCTAATCACATGAATGCCCCACATGGAGAACGGCTAAGGAGTAGACATATTATGCAGTAATGAAGGTGGAGCATTAATATGATCAGCATAAATTTGACATTTGTGACAACCCCATGCATACTTGATACAGTCATGTTCCATAGTCAACCAATAATACCCAGCTCGGAGAATTTTTCTAACAAGCATTCTTCCATTTGCATGTGTCCCACATATCCCTTCATGGACCTCAATCATGACTTGTTTTGCTTCTGTCTCATCAACACATCTCAACAAGGTCATATCAGTAGAGCGCTTATGCAATGTATTTTCGCTCAAGAAGTATGAAGCTACCGATTTTCTGATTGTATTCTTATTCACCTTAGAAGCATGTAGAGGGTATTCCCCATTTTGCAAGAACTGTTTAATATCATGAAACCATGGTTTGTCATCAACTTTGATTTCCATGCAATGTGCAGGTTCTTGACTAATTTCAATCCTTAAAGGCTTGATTACATCATCATTGGAGATTTGGATCATGGAGGCTAAAGAAGTCAAAGCATCCGCAAATTGGTTCTTGGCACGGGGCATATGGTTTAAAGAGATGAATCTAAATTTCTTGATGAGAGTTTCAAGATATTGGTGATAGGGAATAAGTTTTGGATCCTTGGTTTGCCAATTACCATTTCTTTGACATATGATTAGTGCTGAATCACTATATATCTCCAAATCTCAGACATTCATATCCAAAGCAGCATATATTCCCGCAATACAAGCTTCATATTCGACTACGTTGTTGGTACAAGCAAAATCAAGCTTTATAGCAATAGGAAAATGATCACCCTTTGGGGATACCAACATGGCTCTAAGGCCACAACCAAGCTGGTTAACAGCTCCATCAAAGAAGCGCTTCCAATTATCTAAATCTGATTCTGCCTCCACTGCCAAAATGTCTTCATCAGGAAAGTCCCAATCAATAGGCTCATAATCCTCTGCCGCATGTTCGACTAAATGATCTACAATTGCTTGCCCTTTGATGGCTTTTTGTGTTGTGTAAACAATATCAAATTTGGAAAGCAGCATATGCCATCGAGAGATTCTTCCAAAAAGGGTAGGTTTTTCAAAAATGAATTTTATGGGATCCATTCTTGAAAGTAGGTAAGTGGTGTTGGTTAACATGTAGTGGCGAAGTTTCTTGGATGTCCAGGCTAAGGCACAGCAAGTTTTTTCTAAGGGTGAGTATTTACTTTCACAATCATTGAACTTCTTACTCACATAATAGATGGCTCTTTCTTTCTTGCCTAAGTCATCATGTTGGACAAGGACTACTCCCATGGATTTTTCAAGGACAATAATATATAGGATGAAAGGCCTTTTATCAATTGGTGGCACAAGGATTGGTGGCTTTTTTGAGGTATTCTTTGATTTTGTCAAAGGTTTGTTGGCATTGGTCATTCCAGGTATGAGGGTTGTCTTTTCTAAGGAGTTTGAAAATAAGCTCACAAATGGTAGTGAGGTTGGCAATGAAACAGGCAATGTAATTAATTCTTCCCAAGAAACCTCGGACTTCTTTTTGGGTTTTTGGTGGTGGCATTTCATCAATGGCTTTTATTTTGGCTAGATCAATCTCTATTCCTTGGTGACTCACAATGAAGCCAAGTAGCTTTCCAAAATCCACATCAAAAGTACATTTGGTAGGATTAAGTCTCAGTTGGTATTTTCTAAGGCGTTCAAACACCTTCTTGAGATTTTCTGTATGTAGCACCTCTTCTTTGGACATAATCACCATGTCATCAACATATAGCTCAACAATGGTATGCACAAAGTCATGTAGTAAAGTAATCACAGAACGTTGGTATGTTGCCCCGGCATTTTTGAGTCCAAAAGGCATAACTTTCTAGCAAAAGGTACCCCATTGAGTGATGAATGTCGTCTTGAGCTTGTCCTCCTCCTTCATTTTTATTTGATTGTACCCAGAGTAACCATCAATAAAAGAAAACCGAGCATTTTTGGCAACATTATCTAGTAGAATTTGGATGTGAGGTAATGGGAAATCATCCTTGGGGCTTGCTTAGTTCAAGTCTCTATAATCCACACAGACTCTAACTCGACCATCCTTTTTCATTACAGGAACAATATTGGCCACCCATCCCGGATACATAGCTACTTCAATGAAATTGACATATAGCAGCTTTTGCACTTCTTCTTTGACCTTCAACAGAGCCTCTGGCTTCATCCTTCTTAGCTTTTACTTGATTGGCTTAGCCTTAGAATAGAGTGGAATTGCATGAACAGCAATATCAAGATCAAGTCCTGGCATGTCCTTATAGGACCAACCAAAAACATCTTGAAATTCATATAAGAGTTTTATCAATTCTTTTCTCTCCTCTGTGGATAGGTGGGCATTGATTTTTATCTCTTCTCTGTCATCTTCAGTTCCCAGATTAATAGTCTCAGTCTCTTGATTTGGCTGTAGCTTTGGCTTTTCTTCTCTTAGCATTTGAGTTAGTTCATGAGAATGATCAAAATTTTCATTGTCTTCTTCACTATAGGTCTGATCATCAATCTCATATATAAAGTCTGATATGGCATCATTGTTTAAAGATTCATCATTAGCAGGCCTGAAAATTTCGGATGGAAGTAAATAAATGGCCAAATCATAATGAAGCAAAGATAAGAACATGCTACTGCACAACCTCATAAAACATATCATTAAAGAGTGGCTTGTACAATGAAAGTTCAAGTAAAGTTGCATCATGATGATTTTTACAATGATAGGATAGGATTGCAACATGTATTATTAAAAAGGAAAGCATGGGAATACTAGAGGCATGATAACATAAATTTCATAAAATATAAAAGTGCTTGTTGAATCCCTCCCTTCATGTAGTCACAAGCAGAACTACTAGAGGCTGACTCTTCTTCCTCAGAGATGAAAGCTGCAGGGAGAAGCTCCGCTATCCAATTAGCCTGAGAGCTTCCATTAACCCGAGAAATTCCCCTATCAAATTCAAGTTTTTCCTCATCTAGAGCATTTATAGTCAAATTTCCCCACGAGTCACATAATGATTCTTCTTTCACTGTTTCAAGTAGCACAGACTCATGTGTTTCCATTGGAGTTTTCGCATGATGAACAAGATGGAAGTTAGGGTGCTTCTCCATAAATGCCCTTTCAACAAGCATCCTTCTCTACCTCTTCTTAGGATCTGTCATTTTGGCTGGCCCAAAGAGGTTTTTGAAACCAAAACTCTCTTCCTCGTCATCAGAACAAACTTCATCCGTGATCTTCCACAACTACTTTCTCAAACTTTGCTTGTTTTGAACATTCACTAATTTCAAGCAATCTATTAATGAAAATAGTACCCTCTGCATCTACATATAAGACATCCATGTGCTTCACCATATATCCATCAAGAGAAGGGCACAAAATCTCAGCAGGTCATGGAAATGTGACTCTAATTTGCGGCACCCACATTGGTTCATCCCTAGGATCTCTCCCTTGAAGTCTAGAAAGGCACTTCTCTGCTTTAATAGCACGCATTCTCTGCCAATCTTCCTTCTTCAGCTTGTATCCCAAGCCAAAAGTGCCCCAAGCTTGAATTACCTCAATAGGCTCGAGAATTCCTTGTCTATCAAATCCCAAACCCTCTCCCAAATGGTAATGACATGCAAACATGATCTTTGCAGCAACCTTGGCAAGTTTAGCCATTTCAGCTCATTTCCCTCTGAACTTTGGATGTATATAAGAAGTAGTAGCAGACTCCATTGAGTGATAAGAGGATTCATAAGTTCCAAGATCAATTCCCAAGTGAGGAATGGTTGTAGCCTTTCGGATGACGTGTTCTTCCTCGCCATTCACCGTGACAAGAACACCATTGACAATGTATTTGACTTTCTAATGCAAGGTGGATGGTACTACTCCAGCAACATGTATCCAAGGCCTCCCAAGAAGCATATTAAAAGCAAGAGAAATGTCCATAACAAAGAAATCCACATCAAAAGTCACAGGGCCAATTTCCACTAGAAGCTTAATCTTTCCAATCACATTCCTCTTTGTTTCGTCAAAAGCACAAACCACTGTATTGCATTGATTAATGTGAGACTCATCCACTTTCAACTACTTCAAAACAATCATAGGAATCACATTCAAAGTTGACCCATTGTCGATCAACACATGAGGCACATTCATCCTCTTGCACTGAACAGAAATGTGAAGAACCTTGGTATGCCCATTTCCTTCATCGGGAATCTCATCATCAATGAAATTAATATAATTTGGGGCCAAGATTGCCCCAACCACAGTCCCAAACTTCTGAGTATCAATGTTCTTAGGCACATGGGCCTCTTGCAAGACTTTGAGCAATGCATCAAGATGAACCTCAGATGACAGCATCAATTCTAAAATAGAAATTTTCGCTAGGGTTTTGTTGAGCTGTTCAATGATGCTATACTCACTCTTCCTCAAAATATTCAAAAATTCTGCAACTTCATTTTCTGACACTAGCTTCTTGGGTGATTCTTCTGGCATCTTTTCAATTCTGATATCTTTTGATTTCAAGGCAACCCTTCTCGATTCTTCCCCTTCAGGACTCACATAGCACCGACCACTATGGGTCATGTTAGACACATCATTGGCTATGGAATTCAAGATGGTAGAACATTGAGGCATAACTACAGATGATGTCTTTCCCATGAATGACTCACTAAGAGAAGTTTTCAAAACGTAAAACTGTTGTGAATTCTAACTAATGACTTGTGCTTTTGCAGTATATTATAGAATGTAAGGCCTCTCCTTAGTGAAATATTCTTCCATTACTGGTGCTATGAATTTTTCTAATTCTGAAGCAGACATAAACTTCAAGGATCCCATTCTTTGTAGCTCTGTAATTTTTCTTTGAAAATTTCCACAATTTTGTAAAGAATGCCCCTTCATATTAGAGTGATACAGACACACCAAAGCATCATCAATGATCATTGGAAAAGCATTGAAATTTGTTGGTTCAATTGGCTGAATCAAATCATACTCTATCAAAATGAAAAACAATTCATCCAAAGACCAAGAACTGGTATTTTCCAACACCGGCTTTTCAACTCCATTAAAAGTGATCATATTCATTGTGCCTGCATCATGTGGAGGTAAAGGGTATTGAGTGATGTTTGGAACACCCTTGGCTTCTTTGACATTAAGTTGAAGTTTACTCTCATCGATGAGATCTTGAATTCTATGTCTCAAAGCTGCACAATTCTCAGTGCCATGACCTGCCACATTGTGTGATATTCACACCTATCCTGTGCATCATACCAATATGGATAAGGTGGTTGGATAGGGTTCACTTGCAATGTCTTTATCAGACCAACTTCAACTAACTGTTTCAACACCTCACTATAAGGGATTGGAAGTTTAGTGAATTGTCTAGGCTAATTTATAGGTGGGAATTGCTATCTAACTGGAGCTTGAGCATTAAAATTTGGTCTTCTTTGAGAGTAGGGGGTAGTCTTAAAGGTTGAAGTGTATTACAATTGAGGCTGCCGATTGTAAAGACCATTTGCCACATTATAAATTGGTTTAGCATGATTGGTGAAAATGTGACTCAAAGCTTCCTCATCTTCTTTCTTCCCTTTAGGTGAGAACCTCTTTGAAGTAGATCCTGAGCCTCCCATCTTGACTTATGATGAGCTAAATTTATATACATATTAATAGGAAATTTTTACTTTGATATTATTGATAGTTGGATGAGTTTTATGGGATTTTGTTTGATTTTACATGGTTTTCATCCTTTGTGTAGGAAATGATTTAATTGAAAGAAATCTTACTTTTTAGAAGTAAATTGAAGAGATCAGAGACTTGAGGATCAACTTGTGCAGAATCCAGAAGTTAGGAACCAAATCTGTTATTTTACCATTGAAGAAATTGCAAAAGGAGACCAGAAACCCGACACGGGTGTAGTGTCGACACATGATCGGGGTGTCGACACCATACGTTAAACGTCCATAATCAGATTCTGTTTCCTATTTTGTGTCAACATGTAATTCAAAGTGTCAGCACCACGGGATCAGCACTAAAATTCAGTTTCCTATTTCTGTTCCAAGTCCTACTTCTATTTTAATTAGGGTTTCTAAAATCCTATAAATACCCATCCAAATTCAGAATTAAGAGAGTTTTGGGAGGCTGGTGACAGCCCTCTTTTGGGCACTCTTGGAGGTCAAGATAAAAGATCCATCAACGAGAAAATCAAAGATTTCAATTACCTCAAATTAGGTTTTATTTTTCTTTAGACATTCTTATGCTTATAATTGTGATTTCAGATTTTATTATTTTTATTATGAACTGATTTATTCTACTAGAGTTATGATGTAGCCTAATCAATTCAATATAGATTTTGTGATTTTATGTTTTCAATTAAAGTTATTTGCATGAGGAGTTTATATTATTAAACTTAATGCATTAGAAATTTGATCACCTTTTGATTGATTTAGTGATTTATGCATGAGCTTGAGAAAGAATTGCATAGATTAGACCAATAATAATATAAACCGTGTGCTAGACTATGAGACTGAGAGGTAATTAGCTCACATGTGGTAGTAGAGGAAGAGAAGAGAGTTAGTAGCTCCCCCTTCTTAAGCTAGAGGTTTCCATAAAATCTAATACTCATTAGTTTGTTTAAAATTATATAGAGATATGATTAATTTAACAAACCAGTGAAGGATTAACTTGACTTGAGAAAGCTAGTTAATTAATTTAGGGAAATCCGCCATCACATGCAATAACACTCAACAATTTGGTAATCCAGAATTTATATTGATTGATTATGGTGAAGTCAATGCCTTAGTATTTCATATCTTGGTTAGTTTTATTTGAATTGTTAGTTTCTTTTTGTTATTTTAATTAAAATTCCATCTTGTCGATTGTTCAAATAAATTTAGATTAATTGTTTTGGTACTTAATTAGACACAATCCTCGTGAGTTCGACACTCTCTCATCATTATATTACTTGGAGCAACTAGTACACTTGCTAGGGTGATTTTAGTGCATCAACTTACTCTAATTGCCTCTAAATGGTTTGAAAGTCCATAATGATACCTGTCTTCAGTCCATCTTCAATTTGTTCTCTTGGTGTTACTAATTGAGCAAAAGTATATCCCACACAAGGAGCTAACCATGCACGAAAGGTCCTGGTAGTTGACTTAATAAAAAAAGAGCAAAATTCACTGTCGGTAATAGGTGGAATGACTTTGGTTGCTTCAAATCTCCACTGTTGAGCAAATTCTTTGAAAGTCTCATTACCTTTCTTGGTGATTCTCTGCAAGCTATCCCTTGTAAGGGCCAAACTCATATAATACTCATACTGCTTCATAAAAGCTTGAGAAACATCCTTGAAAGTGCAAATCTTCTTCTTGTCAAGTGTTGAAAACCAAACACTTGCTGGGCCTGAGAGATTGTCTTGAAAATAGTGAATGAGCACCCTTTCATCATTAGCATAAGGTGTCATCTTCCTAGCATACATCTACAGGTGGGCGTAAGGACAACTTGGGCCATCATACTTGTCAAAATCCAGCTACTTGAACTTGAAATTTGTTTGAATTCCCAAATAGTAGCAAAGATCATCCAAGTCAATGGAACCATAAGCTTACGGCCCTTGCATCAGCTTCAAAGCCTCTTCTAACTATTACAGCTTGTGATCAACCTCTCTTGACTTCCCATCCTCTAAAGTAGACCTCAACATCGCAATCGAGGGGTTGGGTTGAATAGTTGGCACTTGTCCCATCAAAGGTGGTACATTAAGGGTAAGAGATGTGATTGTGGGCAACGTAGGGTTGTTCATCTTGAATGGTGGGTATAAGGCTTCAAAGGGCAGAGATGATATTTGTGGAGCATGTGAAGATGATTCCCCCACTAGAGGTTGATTCTCATAAATAGGTGGAAATTGCAATTGTGTGACCATGGGATCCTTAATACGATTACCTAGTGTGATGGTAAAAATAGGTGGAACTGGTATTGTGGGTATTAAGGATGTAAGTGAAAGAACCGAACTAGTAGTCAAAGTGGACAAAGTGAGACTGATGGTCTGAAGAGTAGCAGCCATAGTTTGCATTGTAGCTTCCAACTTATCAACCCTCTTATCCACGGCTGATTTTTCGGGATTAATAGCAGCATTTTCCTCAAACATTTTGATTACTCTAGATCTGAGCAAATATGGAGAATGCCACTTTTTGAAGAACTTTCGCCTTGGAACTATGATTAGAAGACCTTTTACCTAAAGCAAAAACATAAAGACAAAAAGGGAAAATTAGAAAACTAAAGAGATTTTAGCCCCTTTTGATTGGACCATGAGTTTTCCCCTTTGAAGTTCCATATGGATTCCCACATCGGCGTTTCCATCAGTATGAAGATATCCATCTATATTACAATGAGTTGTGCTAAAACATGACTTTTCATTACTAGATAACCACACTTTAAACAAAGCAAGCAGTACAAAGTTGCATTCAAAGTGCTTACAAGTCTTCATTATAGAACATAAATCCTAATGCAGCCTTTTGAGCACATTGGACATGTCAATGATAAAGTCAAAGACTAGTTGGAAAAATCCCCTCTCAATTGGATGGGTCCTTTGAGCAATGTGATGATGAGTCTCGGCCATCTTTCCCTCGAATTGAGTCACCAAAGCGATTAGGTCGACAACAACTTCATGCAAGCCGGTGTCCTCTTCAACTAGAGTTTGGTTCTTTTGCTTCTCAACTAGGAGTTGATAGCACATGTCCTCCATGGCAATCTTGTAAAGATCACGGTTGATGGTCATGTCTTGTAGTTGCTCTTCCAATTGTTCATGGGCTCTACAAAGGTGTTCATTGTCCTTAGTCAGTTGGTGCAGATAAGAGATAGTTTCTTCATTAAGCCTTTGAGTACGGGCAGAAAACTCCAACAAAACCCTGTGTGCAGAAGGTTGTGTCTTGGATGTGTGAGAATCCATATTTCTTTTCAGAGGTCACAGATGGTTCAATTAAAAGGGCTTAAGAACTAAACACAAAGTGGCAAAAATAAAGACATTAATAAGAGAATAATCAAAGATGACAAAATGCAAATGTGATATGAGGCTTGAGAATTAAAATTTATATCCTAATCATAGATTTTACTTCATCAAATATACTTTTGATAGGGAAGAAAGATTGCATTCATTCAAGTAAGTTTTCATTGACAAATCTGAATAGCTCCCAAGCAACCCATCTTTTCCCCAAGCTCCTTAAGTTGTGCTTTTGTTCTCCCCTTACTTTGACCGCTTTGCTATTCGTAATTCCTTTTGTAGAGCATCATAATCAGACAATAAATTGTTGTAAGAATTTCTCCACTTTATCACCTTTCCTTTCAACTCTTGCTGCTTGTTTAATCACTTTCTCCACAAGCTCTTTGTTCTCTTTTTCTTTTGCCTTAAGATCTACCTTTACCTATAGCAGCTTTTTTTGTTGTTCTTCGGCAAACTCCAAACTCCTTTTTTGCTTCCCACAAATTTCCTTGCTAGCAGCCAAATCCCTTTCTAAAGAGGCACTCTTGTCTTTCAACCTTGCCACTTGCTGATCAGACAACTCCTTCCCTCTTTTAAGCAATTCATGATCAAGAGCTAACTCATCATATTTTTCTAGCAACTGACATCTTTGAGCATGGCTAAGTTCCAACCTAGTGGTTAAGTCCATGATGGTAGAGTTTTTCGTATTTATCACCTGCCATGGCAAAGAAAGCTTAGCTATCCAACTCAATCTCCATTGCTCATATTGTGGTCTAGTCCCATTCTCTTTCCATATAGGTAGCATCCTACATTTCTCCCACATCTCATGTGCTTCGGATATAATTGATGGGGAAGACATGTAATCAAAATGTGACTGCGATGCATCATCAAGATAAGGAACGCTTTGTGCTTTTCCAAACTGACGAGATGCCAACTCCACTGAATATGTAACCCCTCCATGAATACCCAACAAAGGAATAGAGTGATGTCCTTTGGGTGGAGCAAGATAATGAGTAGCATTCCAAGTCGAGAGAACAAATCCGACATCATTAATAGTTGCTACTAGAAGTGATTGATGCCAATCCTTCGTCTTTCTATCTTTCACAGGAACGTTGAATAAAGCTTCAAATTGAGGACCCTTCAAGTGATCGTGTGCCCATGTAGTGAACAACTCAATGCAACCTGAGAAGCGGCCGGATCTTTTAGCCCGGATTTGTTCCATAGACCACAAAGTGTTAGCCACCACTGTAGAAGTAGGATTAAATGCTGAAGTGTACAATAACTGCTCAAACAAAGCTACCACCATAGGTGCAATGGTCTTGACATAGATAGGGAAAATCACCATGCCATAAACTCTCAATGCCCAAAGTTGATTCTTTGAGAAGATGTCATGCCCTTCAATCTCTTTCCCAAAGCCATTAATGCCGCATTCCAATCAAACCCATAAGAATCATCTTTAGTAGTTACCAATGGTTGTGAGAATTCAAATGGAAACCCCCATATAGCTTGCAACATTTCTTGAACTTTTTCTAGTGTGAACTTCAGATGTTGTGCTTGAGGAGTGAAGGTAGAAGAATCCATCGCAGGACTACACTGTAGGAAGTGATGATACTCACCAATGGTGGGCACCAACTCAAAGTGTGGGAACACAAAAGCTTGATATTGAGGGACATAGAATTTCAACATAGCTCGGAACAAGTTCCAATTCGACACCACTAACAATAGATCCCCGATGCACCCAAATCGAACCTCAAAGTCATGCTTCTCTCTAGAGGACAACAAGTCATAAGCCTCTTTCAGCAGCTTCAAATCAGGTTTGGAGGTATTGACTGAAAAGATTGACTCCTTAGCCTTCTTAGCAATAGAATGAGATGTGACATCTTCCTCAAGTCTCTTCCCTTATCTAGTTGTATCCTCGGTAAAATCCATGTCTAATGCATGAACTTACCTAAACAAAAGGCTTAAAGAAGTTAAACATAAATCATACCCTCACATGCCATACCTCATTAAGTGTACAAAATAAGCTGCCATATGCGCAAACAAAGGTTAATGAAGTAAAATGCCCCTTTTGTGTCTTAAACACGAGACGCCTAGTCTCATGGGTGGGATACTAAGGGAAACATGTCCTAGGGTTGGTATCTTTCTAAAGTCAATACATGTTTTCCTAAAGGGCATTAGGCCTTCTCAACCATTTATCCTTTCGGAATCAACAAGAGATATTTCCAAAAGCTAATACATAGAATGATATTACATCATCAAGTGTCGTATTAACCAATGGAAATAACCTAACAGGAGCCATTCTTACTCCTCAAAGCGGGAAGAATTGCTTTTCCAAGCTAGATTCATAAGGACTCCTGACTAGAGATCGGGTTCACCTCCAACAAGGATCTAATGCAAAATGAGGGTGAGTGTGTGCAAAGGGGCATGACACTCTAATAACCTGCACAATGGCAACCACAAAAACAACAACATATATCTCACAGTAAGTAGATAAAGCAAACAAGCAAATAAAACATATAAAACACTCAACAAATATATCACCAACAAACAAACCTACTTACACAGTAAGAAGGGACTCACCTTGTACTCCCATGCCAAATGCAAAAGGTTAGTAACACAAAGCAACCAACACTTAACATGCCACAAGATATAAATAATCGCATAAGAGGGAAGGGACTCACTGAGTACTCCATAGCCAAGTGTAAAAGGTGAGTATATCCACACACAAACAAGGAGGCATATAGGCATGATGCATGATTAATAGGCATATAACACCAATGATGGATGAGCATGTGACATAATATGATGCATGAACATATGAGCAAGGTATGATGCATGTCAAGATATAGCAAACTAATAACTTAAAGATAAAAACAAAAAAAAGCAACCACCAAAACAAACAAACAAGTGACAAACAACACGCAACAAGCACGTGCAATAAATGACAAAAACCCAAAAAGACTCAACAAATAAAGAAAATCAAAACTGAAAAATTCCCCAAAGTTAAAGTATTAGCTCGACCCTCGTGAACCCAGAATATGGAAACCAGAGATTCTGGGTTCTTTCCCCAGTGGAGTCGCCAATCTGTTGACGACCACTTAAAATTTCTCAAAATAAATGAAAAATCATTAGGTGAGAAAAAATATTAAAAAAAGAGAGAATCGCCACTCGTCCAAATTATAAGATAGGACAAGTCACCTAAAACGGGTCTGCGCAAAGATCGAGGTTCAAGGGTTCGATTAGAAATAAGGAAGGGCATACGTGCACCTCACAATCCTCTATTTAAACACGGTTGCATACTTTAAAATTGAGGTTTTAATTCAACTTATTTATTATGTCTATGTTTAAGTCTAAAAAAAATTATTATTTTGTTTTAAAAAAAAAAAAGTGGATGAACCAAATTGAAACATTTTTAATTTTTTTTGGACTAACTTAAAGACATGCATGCACAATAACATAAACAAGAAGTTAAGGGACTAACTTGATTAAATTCGAAACATGAAGGACCGACTTGATTAAATTCACAAACATAGAGGACTAATTTGAAAGGATTTGAAACCTTTGGACTAAATTGCTTAATTATCAAAGTTTTGAGTGAAATTTGAAATAAAGAAAAATAATTTTGACTTTGAGCAAGATTAAAGGAAACTAAATATTTAAATTAATTAACTAAGATAATTGATAAATTTAACATTAATTAAAATTACTTAAAATTAATTAATCATATTTATAAATCTTTAATCAAGATAATTAAGTAATATAATCATCTTAAATTAAGATCAATAAAAATGATTAATTTATTTTAATTAAAGTTAATTAACCTTATTAATCATAAACTGAATTAATTATCCTAATTAATTAACCCTTTTTATTTATATTATATAATTTTTTTCTTTTTTGTTTTAGTTTTTTTTTACTGGACTGGGTCGGGTTGACCCAATCCAGAAACACAACCCAAGCATAAAAATGAACAAAGAGAAGATCAAACGTGCAAACAACATGAGGAAACTAGGGTTCATCCAAAAAAATTTTTGCAGAAAACATGCATTCCATTTCAAATACAACAAATATTCATTTCATACTAGTAAATCTACCATTCATTTCTCAACAGATACATATAAATTTCAGCATTTCAATCACTAAACAGCACAAAACATCAAAAGGAAGAAAATGTAAAATTTACAGCGGAGAATTCAGGAAAGAAACGGATCAAGATCCAAACAGATGGATCCGACCCACGGGATCAAGCTCTGTTCACCACCTTCACCACCCCTCCCGAATCCTCTCAGTTCCAACAATTTACCTAAGGCAAGAAAACCCAAAAAAGTGTTAAATCTCCGGCTGGTCTCCTCTGAAAAAAAAAAAAAACAAAACAAAACAAAAAAAAAAAACAAAATCCTTCTCTTTCAGCGCTCGAAATTTCCCTTTATTTCTCTCAAAAATCCCGGCCAACTCCCCAACAAAACAGACCCCCCCCCCCAAAAATCAACCAAAACCACCCGCTATTTATACCCACACTTGCAGAATGAGACAAGGTGCCAAGGAGAACAGACGATCAGAGCAGGAACAAGATTGGGTTAGGTTGCAGCGGCACAAAGGATCGGGCTGCAACAGGGGCACAGGCGGGTAATGAGTGCAGGATCGGCTGGCAATTGGTTCGGGGAAGAGGTGGGGTGACGGGCGTAGCGAAGCAGGAAGCAAACAAAGGGGTAATGAGTGCAGGGGGTGCAGGAGTGCATGATTGCACAAGATCTGGGCGCAGAGGAGATATCTGGCAGCAGAGGCACGGTCAAGCGCAAGAGCAAAGCTCGGGTGCAAGGCAGGGGATCTGTGGTAGATCTAGGCTGGCGCGGTGCAAAGCTAGGGGTTGATGCAGAGGGGAGAGGAAGCAGGAGATTGGTGCAGAGGAGGGTGGAGGCTGGTTCGGTGCAGAGGGAAGAGCAGGCTGATTCGGTGCAGAGGGGAGAGGGAGCTGATTCGCGCAGAGAGGGGGGGTGGTTGGTTCGCACAGCGGGGTTTAGGGGCACAGGCTCGGTGAGAGGGGGGGTAGGGCCTGGTGATGGCTCGGCATGTGGTTGCCGACTGGTTTGGGGTAGGGAAGGAAAAGCAGAAAACCGGGTGAGGAGGAAGAGGAAGAAGGTTCCAGAAATCCAACCCCCGCCCCCCCTTTTTTTATTATTTCCCTGTTTCTCTTTTTTTTTTTGGGTTTTGGGTTAAATGGGTTTTGGGTTTAGGTTTTGGGTTTTGTTTTGGGTTTGGGTTTTGGATTTGGGTTTTGGGTAGTTGATGGGCTTTGTGTCTTGGGTTTTTTTTGGTTTGGATAATTTAGTGGGCTTTTGGGTAGTTGATGGGCTTTGTGTTTTGGGTTTTTTTTTTTTTGGTTTGGATAATTTAGTGGGCCTTTGGGTTTGAGGCTTTAAATTTGTTTTGATGAACTTCACCCCTCAAACTTTTGATTTCTTCAATTGAGTCCTTTCTTTCTCCTTCTCCCACTTTTTCCGTGAAATTTCCCTTTGCTTGCCAACCTAACAATGAAAATAAAAATCAAACATATTAATGAAGATAAAAACTAAAATAAAAATAAAATTTTTAAAAATTTTAAATTATGACAGTAGGTATTCTCGATTAACCCCTTTGTATATAGAAATGGTGGGGGTTAAAATAACCTAAAGAAAAGTGGCATTTGCAGCAAATCTTGAAACCAATGATCTGTTTTCAACCCCCAAGTCTAGAATTCCTTTTCCAATCATAAAGTTACTGACTAGTGAGCTACACGCAATAAAGAAACACAAGTCTTCAAGGGAAGGACAGAGGTGTTGAATTTGATATGATAAACTGAGTTAACTTTTCTCAAACAAACAATAATCTTCAAGGGAAGTGTGGAGATGTTGTATGGAACGCAAACGTAGGAATTCCTCCAATTCTTTTGAGAAATGACCTATTAGTAAGCTCTTCAAACAAAGTAAGGGAGCGGAGTGTCTCATTTGGAATAGAGACCAGATTATGACATTCCTGTATAACAAGAAGTTTCCTAACTGAACAGTGAGGTGGTGAATTCGATGCCGAAATTCAGTTAGGTTTTGCCATCCATACAATTCCAAGCTCCTAAGGGAGGTGTTGAGGTGGTGAATGGAACTGAGGCCATAGAATTCCTCTTGCTCTTTTCAGAAACCACCAATACTCAATTTTTTTTAGTAAAGTCGTTCGTGAGTTTTCTGGGATGCTCCTCAATTTTAATAGAGATCAATTTATGGCAACCCCTTATAACCAATTTCTCAACCTAGGAACTAATCAAACATATTTCAAAGCTGGAGAATTTCCTATTTCCTAGATTTGATGCCCTAAACCAACAAGATTATCTGTTCCCTTTTTGTCTCATGAGAAGATCTGCCATTATAGAGGGTGGTGGTCCATGGAGATTGGTGCATTTACTTTTCTAAAAAGTAAATTCCCCTTGCTCTAGCATGAATAAAACTAATACTCTGCTGGAGCTTTATGTTCTAAGTTCTAACTGAGTTCAAAGTCCAAATTCAAAAGTAAGCTGGTTCAAGAAAATGAGCTCTACTTATTGAATTCAAGCATGTCAAATATAATACTACACATAATGTTCACGAGCAAGGAAGTGATGATACATGGTAAAATACTTAGGATGGAAGCCAAGGTTACCGGTCTCCAACCAAGCCAATAACATTTGGCTATGGATGACAGTGACGACCATACAAATCTATTAGGCACCATATAAAATATAGGTAGCAAAGAACACAATTTATATGGAAAACCCTTCAATATGGAGGGAGAAACCACGATACAAAAATTGTCACAAAATTAGCACAGTGACTATGTCTCAAGTTTTTTCCAAACATAAAATCTAAAAAATTGGAACAATAATTAAAAAAAAAAATACGCCTCTCATTTAAGAGAACATTGTGCAAATGTACAATGATTCTCTAAAAGACCAAAGCACCTTAACAACGCCCCAAAGAAAACCCTCTTAAATTGCTTCTTGCTATAGTAATCCTTATATGTCCTTCTCTTGAAGCATAAAGTGAGTCAAGATTACTGCATAATAGCCAATTCAAATATTTTTTGTCGAAGCGGATACAAATAATTGTTAACTTCTAGATCATGGCTAGAAATTATCTTTGAGGCTGACCTACTTCCTATTCAAGAAGATGCCATCCAAGACACGTTACAAATATCCACCATGGACCCTTACTGCATGGAAGACTTTTACCATATGAGTAGGCAAGTAATCTTCATTGCACCAGTTGTCTTATTAAGTTTCTCAAAATCAAACACAAACAAATTCTTTTCTAAAGGTTTTGCATGAGAAATCATTCAACTGACTAATCAATATCTCTTGTTTGTATGGAATAAATAAGAAATTAGCAACTGCTCATATACAAGAAATCAAATCTGTACATACAATGCAGCTGATGTTAAGGAATTGAGAGAGCATATGCCTTTTAAAAGAATTATAGCTCATACAAAATTTGGCTTGCTTTCTTACCTGCAATAGTTTTCCTTCAATGAATACATGAGAGATACAAGATACGTTTCCAATTGACTGAAATTGCACCTCCAAGAACATCCTTTATCATCAAAAACATTTCCAAAGAGGCAAGTTTTACCATAAAACCTACACTAGGAAAATGCAGCAAGCATGCAGAAGCTACTCTGCAGCACCACTAGGCCGATGCAATTTGTCAAATGGCCACACAATTAAGTCAGCAAAAATGGCTACCCAAGTCCACGAAAATGGCTAACTCCCAACTGTATTCTGCTTTCATTTATTACCTTAGTTGGATTTTGCCTATAAGTAACCATGTTCCCTCCGTTGTATGCATAAGTTTTATCAGTTAAAAAAGTTTCAATTCTCCTTTGTTTTGAGTGAGCTTCTTGGGAGTAGATTCTCTCAATTTATCTTTGTATTTTAGGTCTTGCCAACCTAAGTTGTGTTTTTGGCAATCGAATTTATCATAGTGAGATTCTAAATCTCACCAAAATCAATGTTTTGGTATTGGCTCATGCACCATTTGGTATCATAACCAATATATTTGAAGTCTGCACGTCATTCTAAGCGTTCTGGTGAAAACCCAATTGATGAACAAGGCCACACGTGCCTCCACGGGCCACCGTCGTTGTCTCACGTGCCGGCCACTCGCACCACTACAACTTGCGTGAACATCACGCGCCGGTCATCTTTAACCTCTCATCTGCCACGTCATCAACCACGTCATCACCACATCATCTATTTACCATGGCATCTATGCCACGTCACTTGACACATCACCAGCCACGTCACTATCCACGTTGGTGACATGTCATCACCACATCTGCACCATGTTGCCACATCATCAAGTCCTTCTACTTATTTTTACCTTACATATTGACCCCCATATTTTTATAAATTTTAAATCACCCCCACTTCCCAAAACTAACTTTCCAAAAGGCCTCTTGCCAATCTAATCTCAACATGCCTCCTACAAGATCAAACTTCCAAATCATGGGGATTGATCTCAAACTCGAGGATGAGTTTTCTCCAACCAGGGGAGAATGCACCAGGAAAATGCAGCAGGCATGCAGAAGTTACTTTGCAGCACTACTAGGCTGGTGCAATTTGTCAAATGGCCACACAATTAAGTCAGCAAAAATGGCTACCCAAGTCCACGAAAATGGCTAACTCCCAACTGTATTCTGCTTTCATTTATCACCTTAGTTGGATTTTGCCTATAAGTAACCATGTTCCCTCCGTTGTACGTATAAGTTTTATCAGTTAAAGAAGTTTCAGTTCTCCTCTGTTTTGAGTGAGTTTCTTGGGAGTGGATTCTCTCAATTTATCTATGTATCTTAGGTCTTGCTAACCTAAGTGGTGTTTCTGGCAATCGAATTTATCGTAGTGGGATTTTAAATCTCGCCAAAATCGGTATTTCGATATTTCGGTATCGGCTCTTGCGCCAAAACCTCACTCAAATTCAAATGATAATTAACAGTCATAAAAATATAGAAAGCATACCAGAATGAGTTTCCCATGGGAAGCTACTTTTCTACCATTCGTGAGCCATTGCCTAACTTATTGGATGAGGATTAGTTTTACAACTTTCCACTTCACAACCAAAAATGAAATTCCCTTGTGCTGTTACTGTAACGCAACTCTCTGCTTCACAACAACATGTTTTGCAATGAGAAAAAATCTAACTAATATGGATATTAGTTCCATGTGCAACAGAGTTTTCAAATCATACTGACATAATTGCAAAGAACATAACTATAATTCACAAAATTAGTTAATTACCAGAAGCTAGAAGATAATAGGTTATTGTTGTTGGAGTTCATTTCTAAATTCTAGAAATCTTCCTCCCAATCAACCAATTATCTATTCTTTAGCTACCCATTAAGTAAAAGAAATGGAATAAGGTAAAAAAATATATATATGTAGAAAAACAAAAGGAAACTTCTAATTTATATGTAAAAACCTGAAGTTAAAATAATTTTTAACTTCACATTAATTGATAAGTTGACAATATAGATAGAATGAAGGAGAATTAGTTGTTGGAATTCATAAATTTCAAAATGTGTAATTACAAGAAAAATAAAATAAGAGTTGGGGTTCCAGAGATGAGGCATTCCATTTGCCTCTCGGAAACTTGAATATTGTGATTATATGTCCTCTCCATTTATTCTGATGGTTGGAATGTGAGAAATCTTGTACCACTCTAAACCGCTTTCCTTGCAACATCTTGTCTCTAACTTTGGGCATTCTAAAATCTCAAGGAATTTCAATTTGGAGAGGCATCGAATGAATTCTACAGAAGGGAGATGTTTCAGATTCTCGCACCGATGGATGTGCAGATCTTGAAGCGATGACAAGTTTCCCAACCACTCTGGCAAAGCTTTTACTCCATGGAAATCAAATATATACAAAATCCTTAGAGCTGTAAGGTGTTGAATTTGATGTGGCAACTGAGTTAGCTTTGCCCAACCAAACAAACGCAATTCTTCAAGGGAAGTGCCGAGGTTGTGAATGGAACTCAAACTTGGGAATTCCTCCAACTCTTCTGAGAAAGGACCGATCCATAATGTCTTCAAGCAAGCAAGGCCACCGAGGATCTCTTCTACATTAGCAGAGGCTAGATTAGGACATCCGTATATTGCAAGGTGCTCGAGAGTAGTGAAGAATGACAACCCACTTGGTAGATACTTTAATTCAAGGCAACCCCGAATAATTAGTGCTTTAAGAGAAGAGTAGTTTCCTAACCAGTTCGGTAATGTCTCCACTTCCTCGAAATCTTCTATTGACACCCATTTTAGAGCAGTAAGGTTTAGGTTTTGAATTTGATGTGGAAACTCAGTTAGTTTTCCCCATCTAGTCAAAACCAAGACTTCAAGGGAGGCTTGGAGGCTGTGGATGGAACTTAGATCAGGAAATTCCTCCAACTTTTTCGAGAAACCACCAATGTGCAATTCCTTCAAGCTGGTAAGGGAATTGAGGGTATTTTCTGGGATGCTAGTCAATTTTGAACACCATCGAATCTGCAAATAAACCAAAGAACGTATTTCCTTCAATTCTTCTGGAATAGAGATCAGACTAGGGCAACGGTATATTTTTAACTTCTTAAGAGCAATGCAAGATGATAGCCCGCTGGGTAGATGCTCTAATCCACAACGCCTAAATGTTACCTCTTCAAGAGAACTAAGCCCACATAGACTTGGAATAGACCTTAGATTTTTACAGCCACGCAAATATAAAACTTTTAGACATGTGGAGGTTGATAGGCTATTCAACTCTTTGCAATCTGGAATTAAGAGTGACTGAGGCAATATTAAACCATTTGATGAAACTCTTTCCAACTTGGGACAATTCAATATGTGTAATTCTTTGAGGAACGCCAATTTAGCAAATGCTCCCTCGGCTATAATACTCAATTCAGCACAGTTGGAAATGGAAAGCATCTGAAGAGAAGAAAATCCTGTCATTATTGGAATACTTTCCAACTTTTTGCACTGTATAATTTTCAGTTCCACCAAATTCTTAAGCAAAAACAGATCACAATTCAAGACATTTTTTGAGATCCATGATGGCAAGTTTTTGCCTCCATAACCATCAATTTCTAATACTTGCAGATCTAAGTGTGGCTGGAGACCTTCCAAAACATCTTCATCTTCATTGCTTTCTTTTCCCCATCTTAATCTCAACTCAGAAATTGTCTTCTCATGTAACTTTGCTCCCATAGCTTCTGATTTTTCCTTAACATGTTCAAGATTACAGATCTTCAAACTTCCTCTGAGCCATCTCAAGCTGCCCAATTCTTCAATTTTGCGTCCCTTCGTTTTGCCTACAAAGAACTTTGGCAATGTTTGAAGACATGTTAGTTTCCCAATGTTTGCAGGCATCTGCTCTTCATCACTAAAGTATATATGCCTCAAGTTGATTAAACTTCCAATTCCTTCAGGAGGCATTTCTAGAGATCTGCAAGTCATGAATCTAAATGTTTGCAATTTGTATAATTTGGGGATCAACTTTGGCAGTTTTGTCATCCGAGTTCTTGAAATGTCTAGATACCTCAAATTCTTCATGTTGCCAAAACATGGTGGCAATTCTTCAGTACCAACAGAATCAACAAAACTCAAAACTCGTAAGCTTTTAAGATTCACCTTCAAATCACTGGAAAAGCCATCCTTTAAAAACAAAGTGTGTAGCTTTGGAGCAACATCTCTTAAATTTGTTGGCACAGTTCCCATACCATAAATGAGATTCAAATTCCAAATATTAGAAATATTGTTGTGTGTCTTCAAAATCATTGTCTCAGATTTTGAAATTAGTTGTGCAAAATTATGAATCAAATCATGCATTTTGCAACTAATAATACTTCCAAATGAATCTCTTTGGTGCTCCTGAAGGAGGGAATACGATAACAAGTCATTTATATACTTATTACCAATATCCTCCATTGTCATAGGATTTTCTTCAACAGATTGGAGAAATCCCTTAGCCATCCAAAGCTGAATCAGCATGTCCTTTTTCATAACAAAATCTTTTGGGAAAATAGAACAGAAAGCAAAACATTGCTTTAAAGCTGACTCTGGCAAGTGATCAAAACTCAATTTTATCACACCTCTGATTTCTATATCATGTTCAAGTGGACCCAATGCCTCAATCTTCCCTTTAATTGACAACCACGTGACTCTGTCCAACCTTTCTGTACACAAAATACCTCCTATAACCCTGGCAACTAATGGCACACCTCCACATAATTGAGCAATATCCTTTCCAATTTTCTCCAATTCTAGAGTTATAGAAGCATCTCCAGGTACTCTCGTCCTGATAATAGACCAACAGTCAGCAATTTGTAGTTTCTGAAGATGATGCATGTGTTTAGGAAGTGTTCTCATTTTCAATGCAACTTTTTCATTTCGAGTTGTCACCATAACATTATTCCTTGACATTTTACAGACTCCTAGCAAACAGCTTCTCAAGTCTTCAAATTTCCCATGACTCTCTTCATCCCACATATCATCCAGTACCAAAAGAAAGTTGTTCTCCCCCATGGCTTCTCTTATTTTTTGAATCACAGTATCTTTGTTTTTTACTGCACAAGAATTCCCAGTAAGAGACTCCAGCATTTCTGTTAAAATTGTCTCTACTTCAAAATTATCTGATACACAAACCCACACTATTTTACCAAAATAGTTTTTGATTCGCTCATCATTACGCACAGCTTGTGCTAACGTGGTTTTACCGATACCCGGCATACCCACTAAAGACAATACACAAAGGCGTAACTCATTAGATGAGTCAGTTAGGAGGTGCACCATTTTGGAAATATCATCCTCTCTTCCCACAACCTCTGATAAATCACCAATAGTGGAATGGGTCTGTGCGTTTCTTCTATGTTCAGAAACCACTGTGCCAGCAAGTCTATTTTGGAGTCCAAACTCTCTCGCTTCATTGTTAATAGCTTCCACCGATGCAATAATTTTCTTAATCTTCTCAGCAATCTCTCTACGAAATAGCAGGGGATTGGAGGTAAAGAATTTATGCACCTTTTTCTGCTTTTGGTTTTGATTCTCCACCTTGCTCTTCTCACTTTCGTAAGCAACCTCATCCAGCACATCATCGACCTCAATAACCACATCCCTGAGCTTCTCAAGCCAACCCTTCACAGCACGGTCTCGCACCCGTCTCTCCTCTGCGTCCAGCAACACATCCTTGATCATGCGTAGTTTGCTCTGAAGCGTTTCAAGCTCCTTCTTCCAGCCGACAGCAAGGCTGATTTGCTCAGCAGCAGTAGAAATCAACTTGGAAATTGTGGTGTTGATGATGGGACTCAGGAGAAGGTCAGCCCATTGCGGATCCATAACTTAAGAAAGGAAATGGTTGGTGTTGGAAGCCTTTGTGGAGCAAAGAAAGAAAGAAAGATACGTTGGTGTCGCATATAATGAATGAAGACAAAGTATTACGTATAGATGCACAGTTGGCGTTGATAATCAATTTTAATATCCCGTTGCAGCATTTTGCTTTTATAATGGTGTTTGTTTTATCTCATCAGCAAAACGATGATTTATTAATACAATTAAAAGAGTAATGGTTCCAGTTTACAAAAGCTTTAGTTCCGAGTCCGGCACCAAGTGACCTATTAGCCATCCTTGAGGGATAGTGTCTGAACATCCAAATCTTAAGTTCTAATATAGGCAATTACCCCTTTCCCCAATTTCTAAGTATCAAAAAAAAAAAAAAAAAAAGCTTTAGTTCCGAAACCAAAAATACAAGGGGAAAGTTTTGTTAAGAGATAGTAGTTGTCTGTTGATATAAAATTAGATAGATAATGTTTATTATTATTATTATTATTTATTTTAATTGATTATCTTATTATAAAAAAATATAAAATTATATAAAGAAATCAATTTAACTGAATTAACCAAAGAAAAAAAAAATATTAATTTTGTTCAAAATTTTAGTTACCTTAGTTATGACCAAATTACACTTGACATTAGAGACAAAACGAGAAAGTGGACTACTTAGGCAAAGGTTGATATGTTAATGATGTGTCTCTATTGGTACACTGCTGTTCTATTTTTTTCATCATATATATTTCAATAAAAACTTAAAAGAGTCAAAAACTTAAGATTGATGTGCTAATGACTTCTATCTATTGATTATTTTTTCTCTTTTTTTATTATTAAAAAAAAAGAAAATTAAGATTTAAGATCTAGATAGTAGATAGTAGATGGTATATAAACCTTTAAGTTTAGAAAAATAGTTGGTACACCATCTGATTCAACACACTTTACAACATATTTATTAAAAAATTATTATTTTTAAATTTGAATTTATGGCATGAAAATTTTCAAAGACAAATTTTAATGGTTGAATTGGAGTGTGTTGTATAGTATATTGAATAAGAGGGTGTAACAATCATTATCTTTATAGGTTTAATAGATGAAATTGATGAAATCGGTAAGGATGACAAAATTAAACCAAGCAAATTTGGGTAGCAGTAGATCTGCTTAATTACAAGTCTATTTCTCAGCAATCACAGGATTTTATGAGTATTTCTTGAAAGTAGAACATGATTTAAATTAATTAGGTAAAAATAAATCTAAGTATAAAAAAATCTAACAATTTGTTAAAAACAATTTAAAAATAAAAAATCTAATAAAGAATATTGAAAAGGACATTGATTAGTACACATCCGGATCCCATACCCGGTATGCACCCCCCACATAAAAAAAAAAATTGGACTAGGTAATGGGTTTTTTTTTTTTTCGATAGGATAATAATGTGTGCACACCCGGGTGTAGGATCCGGGTGTGCACACATCATTATCCTATTGAAAATAAGGTCATGCATCTACAAAAAAATTAGATATCTTTTACTTAATATGTACTTTAACACGACTACATAAGCGCACAAAATTATGATTGAAGATCTAGTATACCTGCAAATTCAATAGAAGAAATTGAGAAAGCCGCTGATGATCAAATTAATTACACCAAGCAGATTAGAAGCAAATGCAGAACTACGCCCTCAATTGCAAACCAAACTGTATGTATCTGATAATTAGAAAAGGTGAGCCAGCAAAGGAGAAGAGCTAACTTATTGAAGTGATTTAGCTAGATATTTCTTAATGCTAATTAATTGGTTGAAAATTCAGTTTAATTTGGGTTGGTATTCAGAGTTAACCAAAATTGCTATATTTTAAAATTTTCATTATAATTTGGTTAACTTAGTTTAACTTTTGTTAATTCTATTAAATTTAGCTAAACCAAACTAACTAAATTAACTCAAACAACCAAAAGTTTGGACTAGTTAAATCAGTTAATTTGATACTAGTATTTCAATTATTCAATTAATGCTCTTCTATAACCATGCTCATCATGACAAGAAATAAATAAATAAAAGATTTTTTTTATCATGTACCCTAAAGGTACGGGATAAGGTAAATGCATATTTTTTATAATTAATTTTTATTAAAAATATAAATATTAATTTTGATTTAATTAATTAGACAATTAAAATTATTCACATGTTAAGGATGTTAAAATATGTCAACTTTTACAATTTTTAATGTAAATTAATTACAAAAAATATATTTATTACATCATTGACATGTGCCTTAAAGTTACATATTAGACAAACCCAAATAAGAACCATGACCATAATGGACCCAAAGACAAATGGTTGAATTTGGTTTTACCCAGATTAATTGAATTAACCGAAGCAAACAACCATTATTTGGTTCAAAATTTCAGTTACTTGAATCATAACGGAATTCTGCTTAACATTAGAGATAATATGAAAAAGTGGACTACATAAGCAACAGGTGATATGCTAGTGATTTGTATCTATTAGAACACTATTGTTCTATTTTTCTCATCTTATATACTTCAACAAAAACTTAATTAAGAGAATTAAGATTGAAGATCTAGATAGTATACCTTTAGGTTTAAAAGATGAAATTGAAGAAATTGATCCCAAGGACCAAATTAAATCAAGCAAAGAACAAGTAGCAGCACATCTGCCTAATTGCAAGCATATTTCTTTGCGATTAGAGGATTTTACGAATATTTCCTGAAACAAAAACATGATTCAAATATGATCAATAAAGAATGACTCACAAGATTTGTTAAGTAGCTACAAATTTAATTAGGTAAAAGTAAATCTAAGATAAAAAAATCTAACAATTTACTAAAAAACAATTTGAAAATAAGGAATCTAAAAAAAAAATATTGAAAAGGCCATGCATCAACAAAAAAAAAAAATTAGATATTTTTTATTTAATATGTACTTTAATAACAATATAATCGCACAAAATTATGATCGAAGATATAGCATACCTGCAAGTTCAATGGAAAAGATTAAAAAAAGTAAACACTGACAATCAAATTAGTTACGCCAAGCAGATTAGAAGCAGAAACAGAACTACGCCCTCAATTGCAAGGCAAACTGTATCGAGATAATAAGAAAAGGTGAGCCGGCAAAGGAGAAGAGCAAACTTATTGAAGTGACTTAGCTGGATATTTCGTGGAAGGTGTTGGCGGTATGAAAGTGGAATGAATAATGCAAAGTCGTCCAAGAAGGTGCATCTAGTGTAAGGGTATTACAATAAACTCATCAACACTATAACATTAAAAGAAAGTTTACAATTAAAAAAAGGGTTAAAGCCAACTATAGTCCCTCTACTCTTAATTTTATTCATGTCCGTCCCTCTACTAAGGATTTGTTTTTTGTCATCCCTTTACTTTCCCAAAAGTGCTAAATGTCACCCCTGTACTCCCATTATTTTGTTTATTGTCATCATTTTATTGACGGCGTTGCTTTAGCCGTTTATTTGGACCGTTTAATCCACAAACGGTCAACTGTGGTAGCGTTTCTTGGAATTTTATGATTCCAAATGTGCTGCCAGCTAGGAGGAGCAAAGCAAGGGGGTTGGGCACCGGATGGTGAACATGCGTGTTGTTATTGTCAAATGAGATTTTGCTTAAAGACAAATGACGTTTTAGGTGTTGTGTCTTGTGTTTGAATTGTAATAAATAAATAAGTCATAGACATAAAAATATTTTAGAATTTTTTAATATTTGAATGTTAAAAGTTTATTTATTATATTTTTTTTATTAATTTATAAAAAATAAAAATTAATTTTAATTATATTAACTATATAATTAAATTGTTTAACGTGACATTAATGTTAAGAATAATGTTTACTTTCATAAATTTTCATACAAATAAATGGAGAAAATGTGTAGTGAATGCACTCTTAAAACATAGGTAAATATTTTTTATATTAAATCTGTAATGTTCGGTGGTTATTGTAATATTTTTTTTTCTAAACTTTGCCTCAAAGTATAATTAATACATTTTTCAGTCACTTAATATGAAGAATAAAAAAGTTAATATTAATTTTAACACTAATGTTATATGTATTAATTTAATTGATTAATTATTAAAATTAAAATTAATAGTATTTGATTTTTTTATGTAACTTAATAATTAAAAGTGCATCAATTACACTCTTAATTGTTTCCTTATGGCTAATATTAAAAGGTTTTCTTAACTAACTTTTTTGTCATAAATACATATA